AGAGACAGAAAGTGAGAAATCACCCCCCAGGGGGGATGGTCACGCCACGATCCCTTCTCCTCCATTTTCCTCTCGGGATCTTGGGCATGCACGCACACACTCCTGGTGTGAGTTTTAAGCCACTGGGTCCAGGACGTGAACCGCGGTCAACTACGTGGGAGTTCAGCGACATAGCCATTACGCTAACTGCTGGTTCCCCCCAGAGTCTAATTTTTAACAGGGTTTTGCTACGTCAGAATCCTCAGGCTCCAGTTTCCCAAGTAACTAGGGCCACAGGTGTGCATCATCTTATCCACCTCATTCAGGAAGGGCCGGGAATGAAACCCAGATCTCCCAGGTAACTTCAGCCTCAACCCCAACCTCTTTGTAGTGCACACCACCACAGTTGAGCCTCTGGGTTGATCTATACATACTAAATCACAGCTGTACTGTACCACAATTATAACTAATTTCTTATGTAGTAATTCAAGGTTGGCTGACATGGTCCAGAACTGACAATGTGCATGTGTGTGTGTGCGTGCCTGTGAGTAACTTGTGTCTGTGTGTTAACTTTTGTCACTCCTGGGCAATTGCAGAAATATTTTTACACTTGCATTAACATCACACATTAGTGGAAAAGCTAAACTAAAAATTAAAACAAAGACTGCCCTCAAAATATATATACAAACCCCTCCTGTGGCGCCACAGAGAACGAGCTTCCTGAGTCCACAGAAGCTACAGGCAGCCTCGCTGCAGGAGATGGAGATGTCAGGAGTTCAGAGTGAGGCTGAACTGGGGGTTTGTGTCTCACTTCCCCCCTGCCACCTGTCACCGTGGTAATGGTTGCTGTACCACAGAGCACAGAAATACTCAGCCTCATCCTCGGGCTGGGCCCCTGTGATGGTGAGGGCAGCCTTGCCTCCAAGCAGGGAGCCTGAGAATCGGGCAGGGACCCCTGAGTACCGGTTGCTGGTGCCACCTATTAGACCCCGGGGTGCCTGGTAGGGCATCTGTTGGACCCATGCTGCGTAGTTGCCGGTGGTGACGGCCCCAGCACTGGAGCCACAGGTGAGCGTGACCGTCCCCCCAGGAGTCATGGACAGTGAAGGTTCCTGAGTCACCACAACCTGGGAAGCAGCTTCTAAGAACAGGTGAGAGACCAGATAGTCAGGAGGGAGACAGGGCCATGAAGGGTCAGGGTCACCTCCCCTCCCTCAGCCCAGGCAGAGCCCCTGACCTGCACAGTGAGCCAGGAGTGTGAGCAGGAGAGGAGCCCAGGCCATGGCACAGACCGCCCAGGGCTGAGCTTTGCAGGACTGCTCAGCACAGAGCCAGTTCCTCAGCTGCCATTATAATCCCACAGCCTGAGGGGCGGGGTCTTCATGCAAATGGTCTACCCTCCCAGGGCACCTTACCTGGCCAGGTCAGAACTACTGAGATGTCACACATCAGTGACAGGTGTTCATGAAACTATTTCCAGTTCCTCCTCCACTCCCAGGACCTTATCCACAGCACCCTCTCGTGCCCATTGCTAGAATATCACCTCTGAAAGGATGCTCTCCTCTGCTCCTTCCCCTTCCCCTCCCTCTCCTCACATGTCTGGCAATGTTAGTTCTATAACCAAGTCAAACTGTTTGAAAGGTGCCAGATCAGACCCTTAAGAAAAAAATTGGAGAAGAGTAGGTTTGCATGAGCAGCTAAAGTACAAAAAGGAAAAAAAAAATGGAAGAAAGAAAGGAAAACAAAAGAAAGAAAATTACTCCATCCAAAAGATGCTGTAATAGACTAAATTTTGTGTTTCTCCGGGTCTGGTCACTCAAATTTGTGTTTAGAATGAACCATGTTCCACTTGTTTCTATGGAGAGTGGTTATTCCCATGGTCAGTATCCTCCTATTTATCTGGTTAGAAGTGAGGCACAGTTTCTAGTGTATTTCCAGGAGAGGAGGCTGCTTGAGATGGATCAGATCATATCTTGTCCCCCAAAGTTTTGTTTGGGGATGCAGTGTTTGGAAGCAGTGAATCCTAGGGATGGGTGACTGGATTGCAGTGATTGCATCATGGAGCCGCCACTCTCATGGATAGATTAACTATGTCTGATGAGGCCGAGTGAGTGCGAGCTCTCCTGAGAATGGGCCAGTTTTTGTGAGAGCCGCTTGTTATACATGAAAGCTGCCCACAGCTTGTGCTCTTTCCTGAGATTCTCTTTGTTCATGTTAGACCATGCAGGAGTCCAGCCTGATGCCAGGTCTATGTCTTCAAACTTTCCAGCCCCCAGAACTGAGAATCAGTAAGTCCTCTTTATTTTTATATTCTCTAGTTTCAGTATTCCTCCTAGTAATGCAAAAATGGGATGAGACACCCGTGGGTCAGGAAATCCCTTGAGTTTTGTATTTACAACCTCTGAGAGTGTAACAAGGAGACTTGCTCCTGGAAAACACTCTCAGCTAGGGTCAGAGGAACCATCTGGGACCCATCTGGGGGTGTGTCCACCCATGGATACCTATTTATAACCATAGTCTTTACTTAAACCTCTGATGGCCTATGTATGATCAAGGAGCCTTGAGTGCTTTTGAAAAGTGGGGGAGATCTGTGTTTTCTTTTCAGTGCTGGGCCTTCTCCTTGGGCTGGACCCCCCGAGGCTCAGGGCAGTTTTGCCCCAAATGAGGGATCCTGAGAAGAGCTGGGGTCCAGGAGCGTCTGCTGTTTGTATCCTAGATCTATACCCTGGGGGCTTGGCCAGGCTTCTTCTAGAATCAGGACCATGGAACAAACACACACACACACACACACACACACACACACACACCAGGAAGAGGAAGGACAGAGGACCCCTGCCAAGGCCTGCCCCTGACATCTCCATGGACCTGGACAGAGAGTGAGGAGAGGCAGGAGGATGAGGGTTGTCCAGGCCATGCTGTGGGCTCTCCCCAGATCCCAGGACCCGCAGCTGGAGCTAGACTCCGGGTGGTTCTCTGATTGCCTCAGCTCCCTGGTAAAGCTGTGATTTGGGAGCTGCATTATGTACACGGCAGCTTTTCATCACTCAGCCCTGTCCACACTGGGCCTCGACCCCTGGAGCAGCTGCTCTGTCAGGGAGCTGTGGCTGAGAGCTCTGAGTTTCCCCAGGGGAGGAAGCACTTGCTGTGGCCTCTCACTCAGGCCTGGACCCTGGAACTTGGTGCATTCCTTCACCTTCCTCTTCTCTGAGCAGCTCCACAGCGCCCCTGCTGGGCTTTGATAGCTATTGTTCTTTTTTGCTCTGGTTGTGTTGAATTCCCCACTGTCTGAATTCCATTTCTTCCCTGTTCTGGATTCCCTCCAAAGCGATTTTTAATTTTAAAAATTACATTGGCTGTGTTTTTCAGTTCTATCATGAGTTCTAGTTCTTTTCTAAGAGTCTGTCCTTTTCCATGTGTTTCAAGTTGTCTGTAATTGTTCATCCTAAACTTACGTCATGATTCCTGTTTTTAAAATCCCTGCCAGATTCTTTCAGCACCGAAGTCTCCTTGGCAGTGTCCCTGTGTCTTGATGGTCTTTTCTTGTTTAGGTTGTGATTTTTATGGTTTTTGAAATGAGGGGCTTTTTATTACATCCATGACATTTTGGATATAGGTGACTTTGGGTCTCTTTTATGTTTCTTTCAGAAGGGACTGTTCTGGGTGTCACAGGACATAGGTCATGTGCTCAGCTCCCCAGTGGACTCACCTACCATGGGGCTCGAACTCTCAGGCCCAGGAACTCTGACACCTTCCTGGGATGATTCAGCAGTGACTGTGCTGACTCGCTGCCTTAGAGTGGGTGTGAGGTCACTTTTGAGGACCCCACTGATGGCACAGAGGGGGTGTCAGGCTGAGTGAAGCTACTCGGTTGCTGCTGTGAGGGGACTGGTGGAAGCTCAGCTCCTCCTGGGGTCCACTGGGTCTCACTGATAGCAGGGAAGGGAGGAGACACCTTCAGTGTCCAAGACCTCTTGTCATCCCCCTCTTCAGTACCTTCAATGCCAAGTTAGGAGGGCTAAGGCTGAGGTCATCACTGGACCCACAGTTTCCATGGGGTTCCTGGAGTCCAGACTAGCTCTGCCTGCAGCACCTCTTTCACTTTCATTGCTAAGGATAGGGGTGAAGTTCAGCTCCCCCTGGGCCCTGCCACCATCAGGTAGGGGCACTGGGTGCTAAAAAGCCCCAAGTGGCCCTGCCCTTCTCAGCCCCGGGAGACACTGTGGGGTGGAGGCTCAGCTTGTAGCTGGATTCACTGACATGCCCCTGTGGGAAATGGGGGCTCTGCCTGCTTCTGCTG